GAATAATCGTCTTCTTGACATCCTCGAAATAACAATCTATTGTACAGTGGTCAATATGGATTCCGTATATCAAAGGATACAGAGATAGCTGTTATGGATGTAATTTCGGACATCCAGTCACGGATTGACGAAAATTATAAATATGGCTTCTTGTCCTTGGACCTATGTAAGGCTTTTGACACTGTAGATCATACCATTTTACTAAATAAATTATACTCAATCGGCATCAGAGGAAGAATTCATGATTGGTTCACACATTATTTGACAAATAGAAAGCAGTATGTTGAAGTGAATGATACTTATGGCTCACTAAAGAATATCACATGTGGAGTACCGCAAGGATCAGTTCTGGGACCAATCTTATTTTTAATTTATATTAATTCAATATCAACTCTGAACTTGGAAGGAAAGCTGGAATTATTTGCGGATGATACAACATTGATTCAAATATCGAAAGAATTGAATGATATCGAACGGGATATCAAAAGTGATCTGGAATACATATGCTCTTGGATGCAAATTCATAAGTTGACTCTGAATTATAACAAATCTTCATATATGTATATCTTCAAGAGATTAGTTAATATTTCGAATAATGCTATTACTTTCGACAATAAATTCATTGAATATACAGACGTGACAAAGTTCATACAAACCTAGACATTTTCTGAACCTGATTTGAAGTCCATAGTTATGGGACTAGACAATTGAATTACTTGATAGCAAATACATTCAAGTCGAACATTGGCAAACAATATGTATTTCACAATGGGATAATTTTATACAATTCCTTACCAAATGATTAAAAAAATATACATGATGCAAAAAGGTTTGAAATCAATCTTAAAAAATACTTGCCTAGGACAATTTGTATGAAAAATATGTGGCATGATTTGATCACTAACAAATGAAATGTTATAACTTTCATCTTAAGAAACAATATTAATTTGTTTCCACTGCATGGAATTCATTAATTAACCGTTTTTTATATTTTTTATGTATTCATGTATCCCTATTATAAACAAAAATGTTTTTTGGGGTAATAAAGGCCACTCTCATCACCGAGGGCTGTCGCGATCTCTTTATCCTACCTCCGATCTCTACCGCTAGATGGCTACAACATGACTAGAACTTCATGTTATACCCTGCGTCATCGAAATGGTTGATATACCCGAAGCGTAGAGTTGTCCCAGTTGGCAGCAGACCGAGAGCGGCTGATGAGACCTGGTGGGCCGGAACAGTAATGTCTCGCTCCTGCTGACAATTGGAGCGACTCTGTTCATCCTGAATGTCTTAGTTATGAGATCTAGCAGTTGAAGAGATTGTCCACAACTTTTCTTTGACTTTCCAGATGCATAGTTCGATATCGTCGTCTTCCGGATCAGAAACGGAGAGCTTCAGCACGGGGGCCGAGGTCCTGGTGTCGGTGGCCACTCTCATCACCGAGGGCCGCATTCCGGCCGAGCCCGGCTCGACGGCCAAGAAGTTCTTCGAGGGGCCGCACTGCAGACTGGGCAAGGGGGCCGACGGGGGGCACGTGTGTGATTTGGCTGATCCTTTGGTGAGTAATAATAATAATAATAATAATAGGGGCTTTATTTTAAATATCCTCGGCGAAGTCCAGCAAAGCTGTTCTACTTAACCGAGTACCATATCACGTTCGAATTAAATAACTACCTACATAGTAGCTTAAATATAAAACTAACTTATCTACTAAATATAAGTATAACATTATTATGTATTCTAAAATACGGTTTATAGCGAAAGAAAAATAATTTGCTTGACTTTTTGAAGTGAAACATTGATTTATTCTTGAGCTCTTGTGGGGCTTGTGGGAGAGAATTGTATATTTTAACTGCATTATAGGAAAAGCATCTGTCATATAAATCTGTTCTATGCATAGGCATCACGAGAAGACCTGTATTTCGAGTGGAACGATTATGAATTTCATGAAGTGAATGTTATAAACGAACAGATTTCACAAAGACACATTCAAGAAAAACTCGATATCAAAAATGAACCTTGAGTTAAAAATCGAATTCTTTGATAAAACAGTCACCCAATTTTTTTTTCTTTTTATGACCCTGAACATTACAGGATATCCCTTTTCGTGGGAACCAGAACATAAAAAAAAATCAAACTTCAAAAATGAAGCGAAAAATTATGTACAGAAGCACCTAGAAAAGTGTCTATCAGATCAGTTGATCAATATGCAAATCAGGAGATCTACTGAAAATTCAGTAGAACCGGCAACCCTGCAGCGGAAAAGTGTTTGCGGAAATAGTCGATTTTTCGTTCGGAAACGTGAAATGTGTAATGTGTTTTTTGTAGGGGTCGACGAAATTGTAATTTTCCTAACAAATGCGGAAAGTGATTCTTTCCCGCACGCGACTGCCGTTGACACTAACGACGCGAAAATTGTTGAAAAAATCAATTCACATGATACCAGTTGAAAGTAAAATTCATTCGAACGATTTTGTTCCATATTTTTTCATTGAACCGGTCAAAGTGTGCCGTGTAAATTGAAGAGCAGTTCACATAGAATTTTGTCTGATCTTTCTGAATTTGATGGAATTTTTCGAGAAAAGTGGTCACAAAGTGAACTTTTTTGACATAACAATGAAACATAAAATTTTCCCATGTCCGGACCTGGATATTTTTTTTCAAAATATGTTATATCTTGAATAGTTTCAGTAGAGATACGTCGCTGCCAAATTTCAGCAGATTACGACGAATCATTTCTGTTCTTCGTTATGGAGGGCCAAAAAATATTTTCATATATATATACATCAACTCGTCTTGATTTCCCCTATTAACCATTGGGCTATGTGAGTCTTCTCATGAAACACCCTGTATATATAAAGATATTGTTGTGTTGTTTCAGGAATAATCGAGTCCCTCGCGGAATAAAAAAGAGATATGGCAATAATTTGAGCTGTTTTTTTTGTTACAACTATATCTATTGCTGATTTGCCGCAAAAATGTTCGAATATTGGCAAGGGCAGAAAATATATGGGAGGCGACAATGAAAGTGCTAAAGTAGGTAAATAAATATATATTTTTAAATAAATAACTGAATGCTTTACAGAATGAAGTCAATATTGTTTCTATTGAATAAGTAAACCTATAATGAAATCAATAAGACACTGTGATAGTGATAGTGATTAGAGTCCATACTGATACAAAGATAATACACACATTAGTAAAAAATTGTGCCAACGCTCCACCAACTTGAAAACAAACAGAATACACCACAACAAAAACAACCAATAATAACAACAAATATGATATCTTACATTTCCGGCTGAAAAAATATAACGCTCTGTTGGTGATAAGTTTCATGTGAAAACTGTGTTCAAAACAGCAAATTCGTTCCTGAAACTTATGTATTATATTTTTCCAATAGACCTTCATTCTCCTTCTTCAAACATCTTTCAAACGAGGTGTCATCGGCTATTGATCCAACTTCTTTTTTAATTCCTATTGTATGAATTTTTAAGCGCAGTGACATTTTGGGACTATTCATCTGATTAGTGTTCACCACTTTTATTAAAATAATACTAATATTTTAATTTGTATAGAGACGAGTAAAGATAATCATAAAAATCTGGAGATGAAGTTCTTGAACAAAGTGTGAATGACAACTTGAATATACTCGTATACATATTATGTTTCCCCTTTCATATCCTTTATGAAAGTATCAAACCTGTTTGTATAAGTTGATTTTGTAGCGAATCATTCGAGATAAATGAAAGCAATTGATTGATAAATGCCATGACTTTTACATGACTTGAATATTTTTACTAGCCCCAGTTATTTAAAATAAATAAGCATAGGAATAGTTCAGTTCAGGGTGAAAGTCAATTGAAGTTATTGAGAAATGTCCTACTTGAACGATGCAGGTTTGCAAGTTTTGAATACAGTATTTAAAAAAAAAAGTATGAATAGTTCTTTTATAATCAATTTTCATCCAGATGCATATGATTCTCTAAAGAGTCTAAAGTATATGGATTCTGAAATCATTGTCTTGAAATAATTTTTGACTGCTATTCCATTACACCTAAATCAAATTTTAGGGGAAACGACGTGGAACATTTTATGTTTTCACGTGACGCAATTCTAAAAGTTCACTATAGTGATGAAATATCAGAAAATATTTGTTTTTCTGGACAACATATAAATATTTACTAATTTGTTTTGTGATGGCTATCTGGTAGGTAATATAAATAAGATATTATTCCAATGTCCTTGTCTAAAAGTAGCTGGTAGGTAGTTGATGTATGGGATAATATGATTATAATTTGTTTTTCATTAACTCCAAACTATCCTATTTGAATGTTCAACCAGATTTAGGAACTGTAGGTAAAAGGGAGTAAAGATAATATGGAAAACTAGTTCCATTGTTAATGTTATACATATTATGTGAACTTCTTTAGAAAGTAGTCATGCCAAGATTACCCAAGATACTGTAATTATTATTCATCAGAAATAATGATCAACATAATTTATAGCTTATGGGTGTGATAAGGATTGATTCGGATTCGTTGTAAAAAGGTATTTTTTCGTCGACCTCTATAAAAAATCACATTTTTGTTTGCTGAATGATTTGATCGAATTTATAACTAACACCACTATATGTTATACTGATGATAATGTATCAATCATTGAAGACAAATCAAGAACACTAGAATATTTGTGGTCTGTAAAAATAGTTTTGAACTCATCAAAACAAGAACAGATTCCATGTAATTCATAGCTAGAAATCAAAAGAAATGTGAAGTAAACATTTCATTATTCCTAGAATATTGACAGCTCCAGTTTATACCTATCTGTAAAATATAGTTCTCAAACAATTTTTTTCTAGTTGTAGTATAATCCATCTGAATTTCACAATTCACTATAGATGTGATTGATTTGTTTCAGATCTGGTTTAAGTTCTGGCCGTTTCACGACCATCAAGTTAAATTTGTTTTGTTTCAGAAAACTTTATTTTTTTCCAGTGTCTGAAGTACGAAAATGACCGAGAGACCGTCCTGAATTTGTGCCGGAAGGAGATAGCGCTGTGCATCGAGGTACTGCTGACTTGTCAATGCAAAGAAATCGATGATCGCGAGGAAAATATCGACGACATCTACGTTCTGGAACAGTGGCATTTCGACATCGATAACAAAAAGTAAGAAGCACATTAGTAGTGTACCTATGTGTGTCTCATCCCAATCGAATTCAATCCCCCCCCCCCCCATGCTAAAAACAAAAACGTCGAAAAAACATCTGCAAGTTCGGTAAGGGCGCATGTTCAGACCAATCAGAACGATTCTAGTTGTGGCGGTCAATTTGAATCAGTGGCGGCTCGTGACTTTCATGACAGAGGAGGCTGAATGATATGAGATTTATTGTGAAAAACAACTCTCTACTCACCCAAATCAATAGCTTTAATGACATTATCTTTACCAGTTAACCTGAACTTAATACTTGAAGAGATGTGTTCCTGTGATTCGCAATGTCTATCCAATCCGCGAGCCAAATTTTTCGAATCATTATATCCTAATCGCCCCCAACATGATGACTTATCGGTTGAAAATAATACGCAGTACCAACAAAATAGCTTATTCCTTACCTCAGATCCCGTCAGCCAGATATATTTTTTATAATTATCAGAATTGAACGAACGATTGTTTGTTACCTGCTACAATCAGATTTTTTAATTCCGGTGTCGGACGTTTATTTTTCACAATCAATTTATCTTCATAAGACAAAGCACTGAATGGGTTCATCAAAAAGTATTCCACTAAATTGCAATCGTTTAAAACTTTAAAACACTCATTTTTCAGAAATTTATAGAGCCCCTAACCATTAACCCATTATAAACATAAACAATGCCCGCAATTCGCGACGCGACACGACAAACACGTGCTATTCGGGCGTATTCGGGCATTTGCATTGCGCGAGTGGGTTGCGCCCAAGGTTGCGCTTGCGCATTATGAAGGAGTCTAGCCTCCTATAGATGTTTGCCAAGTTGAATATTTTACGCGTGATTTGCAGATTTCAACGTGTGATGCGTGGGCAAGCACTGTTGCCAATTCAAAAATATTCACGTAAAAACAGGAAATAAAATCAAAATTCATGTATTTTGGTGTCCTTTTAATGAGAAAGTATAGATAATATCAGTTCAAGGAAAATCTCTGAGGAGGCTCAGCCTCCGTTTTGAATCTGTGGATTACCACCGATACAATAAGGCCAAAATGTTCTGGCGCAAGCATATCGTTACGTCACATCTGGAGAACACAGGGGGAAAAAGGGGGAATATCACAAAAAGTAAGTTTCGAGAAAAACGCATTTCAAAGTTTAAACCTCCTTACTTTCTGGAAGTTGGAGAAAACAAATCAAACCACCTGGATTCATTTGATGTAGTATAATGAAAGTTGAACAACTAGAAAAAAAAGCATATTTGAAAGAAAAAATCATCATCCAAAGATTCAAGAGAAAAATGGAGAATGTCCAAATAAATTGTCAAAAAAGAGGATTGTTTACTCGCAAATATCTGCTCTGGTAGATTTCTTCATTCTTTCCTGACAACGTAATGAGCGGTAAGGTGTTATATAGTAGCATCTCTATAATTTGACCATTTTCTATAAATTCCTACGGATAGTACTGTAATTATGTCTCTGTCTCTATAAAGGCCCACGGAACCGCTCTTCTTCAACGTCCACCAACTCTCGAGCGCCATCCGCTCGCAACTCTACTTCTCCCAGATCACCGCCTGGCTGACGACGCGTCGTCCCGACTCCTCCGGCAACTCCTCGAACAACTTCCGCTACCACGTGACGCCGCCCGGCGCGACGCTGGCGACGGCGCGCTTCCACGCGGAGGCGGCGCGACACGAGTTCCCCGCCACCGTGCTGGGGGAGGGCGGCAGGGTGTTGCGCGTGTCGTGTGCCAGTCTGCCGAGGACGGCGGACGTGCCCGAGATGAGGTGCAGCAGTTGCAAGAAGAATAAGGTGAGGATTATGGTGTACCACAAGGGTCAGTTTTGGGGCCAATTTTATTCTTAATTTACATAAACTCGATATTTACTTTGAAATTGAAAGGAAAACTAAAATTATTCGCAGATGGTACAACAATAATCTATACTTCAAAAGATTTTAACGATATCAATAAATAGGAAATATCGGGGAGTTCAGTCAATCGGGCTACAAGCAAACTACTTCATTGCTATGCCAAGCTTTCGAGAATTTTATTTCCTTTTTCAAGGCTGAAACAACATGGTATATGAAACATTTTGTTACTATTCAATTCTACAAAAACAAGAACTTACTTTCAATGTGAGTTAAAAGGTATAAATTGGAATAATAATCAGTATAAAAAATATAGATGATGTATACATAAAATTGATAGGACAGTGACAAAAGTCATAATTTATATACAGGAAGAAATGAAATTATGAAATTAGATTCTTGTTGAATATCTTTTAAGGTAGAGTCATTTTGAATATCATCATGAACAAAAGATAATAAATAAGAATATATCTGACTGAGATTATCAATATCTGTTTTCCTATTCATAGTATATTTCTCATTTCAGAGATGGTTGAAATAAATAATTTTAGAGATGGTTGAAATTAATAATTTTAGAGATGGTTAAATTAATGAGCCAAAGCACAGACACCCTCACACCCAAGATAGACACTTCAATTCATTTGAAAAGCATACGCCAACAATCCTAAAGGCCAAACACGGATAGATGAATGAAATCGTGAATGGTGGGGATAATACTGCAAAGTCATTGCCAGACGATTGATATTTATACAGGGTGTATCTAAATAACACCGAAAAAATTCAAGGGGCTATTCTTTGTGACATTGTGTCCTAATTAGCTCCGTTTTTGAGATACAGGATGTTGAAGTTGGAAGTATTAATTGTTTTATATATCGAAGACTGGAACCTTTGGCACGATAATACACTACACTGTTTTACCACTAACCAAACCGATTTTTTAACGCCTCGACACGTGTTTCGCTAACTATGTTAGCATCTTCAGGAGAAGATTAAAACTGATCTTCTCCTGAAGATGCTAACATAGTTAGCGAAACACGTGTCGAGGCGTTAAAAAATCGGTTTGGTTAGTGGTAAAACAGTGTAGTGTATTAATTGTTTTCATTTATAACCTCCCTGTATAAGCTTTCATGGTGCCATAATTCAGTATGGATGGAGACTGAGAAAGCCCCAAAATTTCAGAATGATTCTAATTGGGGTTATTGAGTAATCTGAATGGGCGTCTTGAAAACACCTACATTAAAATTTGCAGTCAAATCGAATTCTTATTGTTTCCTCAAAAACAGCTAGATATAGTTCAATCAAATAAAAATATGAAACTCAGAAAAACCAATGGTGTACAATGTCATTCACCATAATTATCAATAAATTTACCCACTGTGACGCCACTGGAAATATTATTTCTAATCTTATTGCACTAGAAGAAGCTCCATATTACTATTAACAAAACCACAACGTTTTATTGAAATTGTTGAAAAGACAATTGAGAAATGAATAGAAAAAAGATTTTTCATGGAATTATCAATACCCTGTAAACAAAGCAAGTTAGGACTTGAACTTTATTTTCTAAAATATCACAAGAAATCGCTCCTTGATTTTTTTCGGTGTTATTCAGATACACCCTACCCTGTATACATTGCGCCATTTTTCTGTAAACCGCTGTGATGGTCAGTTTCGAAAAGTCTTCTTTACAGTATTTCTTTCCATGACATAAACGCCTTGAATGTTAGTTTTGAATATCATATGTGATGTTAATTCAATTTTGTTATCACCTTATGTTATTTTATTATTGTTGTTTGTAATCAACTTCCTCATTCTGTTATTTCTAACTGCAAGATATTTTCTCGATAAACAATAATATATATAATATAAAATATATATGATATAAAGAAGGTTAGAATGGTCTTCTCCATTTCTTCTTATTTCCAGTGTTGCCAACATAAAATTCTCATTTTGTTATGTTGGAACACTGAAAACAAGGACAGATGGGCAAGACTTTTTTTCTCTCTCAACGCTAGCTCGTCTTAAAGGATTGATGAAGAGTAAACTAAACTAAACATTAATCCTTCATCCACTTGTGTTTTAAAATATGTTAGAGGAACGGCCTACCTTCACGAATCCCTCTCATTCCAGCTAAACGAAAAAACGGACAAGAAACCCGGCCTCCTCTTGAAAGAACCCCGCCTGCTGGACGACAGGATGCACACCTGTTGCACGGTGAAAGGCAAGCACAGGTGCGAGGAGGAGGAGGAGAACCACGTGAAAGGCGAGAGGGGTGGTGGGGGAGGGAACGTGAAACGCCTGTGCCAGTACGCCAACGCTCAGGAGGCGTCGTTGGATTCGCTCCACCACAAAAATGATCTCAACAAAGACAAGGTGAGATTCGTTTTATCTTGAGCTGCTCACATGTCGGATCTCTGTATAAACATTTGAAACAAGAAATGTTATATTTAAAAATTGGAAAACACTTTTTTTTCAACTTTTTAGGACGTCATTTTTGTAAGGAAGATCTAGGTGTGCCTCAGGGATCGGTATTGGGTCCGCTTTTGTTTGTGATTTATATTAATGATCTCTACAACTATATGAAACCATGTCACAGGGTATTAAACATTTGGAAAAAGAAATGTTTCATTTAGAAATTGAAAACACATTTTTTTCAACTTTTTATGGCGTAATTTTTGCCAGGAAGATCTAGGTGTGCCTCAGGGATAGGTATTGGGTCCGCTTTTGTTTGTGATTTATATTAATGATCTCTACAACTATATGAAACCATGTCACAGTGTATTATTTGGTGATTGATTTACTCTTCAAAACATTTTTCATCTCTTGCTGATCAATCTGTCGAAATACAAGAAAAAGCCAGCTATTGGCTTAGTGTTGATAAACTTATGACGAATAACGATAAATCACAAAACATGGTGATATCTACGGCTCTGCCATTACCTGAGTTCCAAAATGTTGAATTATTGGGTTTCACCTTGGATAATAGGTTAAATTGGTCCAGCCACATCTTAGGTTTGAAAAGTAAATTATCGAGTGCTCTATTTTTACTTCGACAACTAAAACCTATAACTAATTTCACTACATTGAAAATAGTTTTTCGCTCACTAATTCAATCAAATATTTCTTATGGCATCCTACACTGGGGAAATTCAAGTGATGCCCAATGTATTATCTATTACAAAAAAAGGCTCCGAGAATTCTTGTTGGAATTGATTCGTGCCGTGATTCATTCATAAATCACAAATGATGAAATCATGATCTCAGATTATATAATGCTCTTCCTGCCAGTATTATAACTGAATATGTTTTATTTCAAGAGAGTAATGAAAGATTATTTTGAAAGAAATTGCTTTTACTCGATTGCAGAATATCTGGCTCACGTTAGTGGCCACAATTTTGATACAAGGAACACACTTGCCGAAAACGTAAATGTGTATTATGTTATTGATTGTATATTATTTGTCTTTGACTGTATATTCTTTGTCTTTTATTATACAAACTCTCAGTCAAAATAAATTGGCGACCAAAAAATCTACCCAAATTGTTCAGCCTGTATTTTTTTTAAATTCTTGTCCGATTTTTGTGAAATTCCGATCAAATCGTAGATTCATGTTCCGGAATGTTAGCCTAAATATTAGTTTTCCTAAAAAGCTGATGACTTGATCATTATACAAGGAAAAACCAAAGTTACTCTTTCGCCCTATACTTCTCAAACGCCCTGTGGCAAAATTGCGTGATTGAACATTGAAGTGTGATCCCTTCTCAACACAAAAGTTTTTGTTTCACGTCAATATCTTATTTCTAAAAGAAGATACGAGTGTTTTAAGGAAATATGGTGTTTTTTAACTTTTTTATCATTAATCAGAATTATTGTTATTAAAAATAAAAAAAAAATATACTTTCTGGAAACACTTGTATCTTCTCTCAAAAAGGAGATATCGACGTTAATCAAGAACCGTTGTATGAAGAAGGAACAAAAGAGGATCACACTTCAATTTGAAACATGATGAAGCATTGAAGCAGCAGGTTGGAGAATGGTCCTGAATTATTGTAAATATTATTGTAATATTGTAAAAATCCATACTCTCTTGAAACACTTATATCTTCCTTTAAAAAGAGGTTATCGACGTGAATAAAAAAACATCATGCAGAGAAGAGATCACTTTTCAATCTAAAATATAATGAAACTAAGTTAAACCACTCACCTTTCCCAGAGGGCGTTAAGAAGTTAAAGATGAAAAATTAACTTTCGTTTTTTCCTGTATAATGACCGAGTCATCAGCTTTTCTTAGGAACTAATATTCAGGCTGACATTTGGAAACATAAATCTACGATTTGGTCAGAATTTCACCAAAATCGGACCAGAATTGAAAAAGTTACAGAGCAAACAATTTGACTAAATTATTTGGTGGTATTATTATTATTTTTACATTCTTTTCACCAAAATGGAATCATTACGGACTTGCTGCAAATGTATGACTGTACATCAAGTAGTCAATAATACTCTACTCTACTCTAAACCCTTTAAGTCATCGCTGTGAAAATGAATGAATTAGAATGATTGTTTCTTTCAGGGCCAGCTGTTGCTGGACGCCATAGAGCGCAGCGGCAAGAGTACAAAAGCTAGCGCCAGAAAGGACGAAAGTGATACTAAATGTGATAAGCGAGCAAGTGATATTTTTAGCATTAGGAAAACCAACTTTAGCATATACGCAGACAAACATTGTGATAGCCCGATGCCGAAGCTGAAGCACAACAAGAAAATCAAGGATATATCCAACCGCGAGCCGACGAAGCGGTTCTCGGTGCGACAGAAGATAACCTTCGATGAAGAAGTGAAGATGAAAGACGAAGATTCGTGTAGGATCAAGGATGGCGCTGTGCCCAGTCCGTCGGAGCAGGCGAAGTTCCGGAAGAGCTTGGATAGTGCCGCTTCCATGGTGTTTCATTCGAGGACGGGGTTGCCGCTGACTAGTAGTCCGGCGCCTGTCAGGAGGGGGAAGTCTTGCTTCGATTTCGATTCTTCCATCAATTCGGTGTCGGCAATTAAAAGGTGAGTGGGAGAAAGATAGATAATTTATTCACGTGAGAGCTTTTTTTATCGGATAAATTTCTCTTGCTAACGAGAAACATTTGCCGATCAGTAATTTTCCGAGAAAAAGTGTTATTTTTTCGAGAGAAATTACTGATGGATTTAGTAAGGAAATTTATCCAATTGAGAGAAGGTTCGACTGTTATTTGGCAAGATACATCAACGACAATATACAAATAAACAGCAACAATGATTACCTTTATTGATGATTTCATGTTACTAGTGTGACATTGATTTTCCTCATGATTTTATTATATTTCTTGTGGTTTCTTCAGACGAAATTCCTAAAACTGCTCATTTTCCTAATTTCCTAAACTTGACAGGACAAAATTTGGAGTGACATTAGGCGCATACTCACAAAATGAAAGGACCAGGCAGTTTTACAGTGATAAAAAAGGTGCATCCTCTTTTATCGATTTCAAAATGACTCACGTGATCGTCAAATAGCGTTTCCCGTGGAGGAGTTGATTTATCATTATTGATGTTTCCACCCAATGTTCATTAAATGAACAACAATGGTAAATTTCCGGCCTAGATGAATCTTCTTCCTAAAATGATAGTAGTATTTTTCAGGGAGGAAGGAAAATATCCCTCCTGCATAAAAAAGGACACTACTTCTTTTTAAACCATCTAACCTTAATCGGCCTAACTGAACCTTCTTCCTAAAAATTATATTTTTCTGAAAATTATTTGGGAAAACAGAATTAAAAAAAGTCGACCGTCGCAGGCATTGAACCCGGGTTGCCGACGTGGGATCCGAACGCACAGTCAACTACGCCACGAGTTGTAGTAACTGTGGTAGTATGAAGAAAAAATCCAGTTGCTGTACCCGCATTTGCCACGCTGATTTATATTTGTTACCTCTTGTCTCTAGGAGCTAGTATTCGGTTTTTTGACGGTCATAAGTATGTAAAATTACTCGTCACGGGTAACGTGTACATCTCTGAGAATGAATTAACATATGTTTGTTTAGGTTGGTTGAAATGCTTAACGATTAACTTGAAATTGTATTATGGTCTTTAGTATTGTCTCACTTTGTATTTTAAGCAGAACTTATAAAAATATACCTTTCAAATAAAATACTCAGGTACAATGTTCGGGAGGCCGTGGCATTTTACCAGCCCTACCACCCTATCACTATCACGGATGCGAAGAGGTTTAGAACTTCAGTCATTAAATTTCTGAAAAATAAATAATTTTACTCATTCAACTGTTGGTTGTAATAATACTATTTATTTGTAATATTAAGTACCTATTTTATTATTGTGATTTATGTGAAGGTTGATTCTAACATGTACTAATGATGTATTTTAATTAACAGGTAGGAAATTATGTATTTTAAAATGTAATTTTAAACAGATGATGTGAATGCAACAGGTAGCTAAGATTGTTCTGTAGCCCCTGACGTTTGCTGTGTCCATGTTGACCGTTTTCGCAAGAAAGAGATTATTATTGTTATTAGTCGCGTTCGGTATTTACATCAGACTGCTCCGATGAATCTGAATATTTCGTTTATGACATCTAGATGTAGGGGAAGTAGATCTCATCCGTTCGGCAATTAAAATCGGAGCGATCTGACAAAGATTTTGATGCTCGGAGAATTTTGACCGAGCGAAGCGAATGATCTGAATTTGTGAGGTTAATGTTCAAATATTTATGTATGACTGGCCCTTGTGCTCGTATTCGTATTTTCAAAATAACGTTTTCATAATGAAAGAAATACAACTTCTTGATTCTGAGCAAGACAAAATACACACCTTTATGGTGTCAGATGAGAATTATGAAGAAATTGTCACAAATAATAGTAAGTGAAAACATTTAATTAATGTGTTGAGATGATAAATTAAAAATTTTTTCTTATAGATTTGACTCTGGCTGCGATTCTTTTGGAAAAAGAACAAGAACAATTCTGATATACTTGTACTGTATATACTGTATATGACACTGAATAATATATCACTATGGTATCATATTGATATTAACTGAAGTGTAGTTGAAATATAATTATCAATTGAATATAGTTATTGGAATTATCCCGACTATAATTCATTACAAAATGGCGCAGTCGGTAGGATGCCATTTTGTAATGAATTATAGTCGGGATAATTCCAATAACTATATTCAATTGATAATTATATTTCAACTACACTTCAGTTAATATCAATATGATACCATAGTGATATATTATACAGTGTCATATACAGTATATACAGTACAAATATGAAGTGAGGGGATTTGTACTGTATATGACACTATATAATATATCACTATGGTATCATATTGATATTAACTGAAGTGTAGTTGAAATATAATTATCAATTGAATATAGTTATTGGAATTATCCCGACTATAATTCATTACAATACTCATATTGAAATGGAAATAAATGAATTAAATAAATGGGGTTAGGTTAGGTCACCGTCACACTGTCAACACAATGTCCACTTCGTTCGTTTCTTTCCGATTGCTCCGATCTATCTGTGACCACGTGACTAGAATCTGCTCCAATCTGCGATGTAAATACCGAACGTGACTATTATTGTTACGTCATTGTCGCGATCGTCGCGAACCATCAAGGCATCACCCGAAACGAGTGGATGAACACCCTTTCTCTCTTCCAGTGCATTATTCTCATCGAGTTTTTCGACGGACGACGAGAGCGAGAGCGACGGCAGCCTCGTATCGCCCTGCAGCCCCGACAGCGTCTCCATTCGTCCCAACGAAGTCTATTCGGTGAAGTACAGGCGGAAAGGGCACGCCGCCGGCTTATTAGGTTCGTACCCACTTAACGCACACGACAACAACAACGACAACAACGACGGAAACGCGAAGCTCTTCTCATAGGCAGTTAGGGTGTGCGTGTGTGTGTGTTGACGTTGACGTACGTATCTCGTTTATTTTGTGGTTCGTTTCGGACGAATTCGTTTTGCCCAAACATAATAAATATAGAGTGTATCAAATGTATGGAACTATCCATATATCTCAGTTAGAGTCCCTGTATATACCTTAGACAAGAGTCCGGACACAAAACTGACAGCCGTTGGGGTTTTTAATATTTTGTTTCATTTGGTTTGCCCACCTGACAATGTGACGAAACACCATAGTCGTCCCGCACGCTTCTTTCAATTATTCCGAATGTCTGTCACTGTCACTTTGAAATTTTATGACCGCCAAAATTTAGCATTTTAAATTATTGTTATGTCCTGCTGCGTACATTATTGCGATAATTCATTAGAAAAGGGGTTCAAGTTATTTAATTCTCCGAATGATCCTTCAAAGACAATGTCATGGAAGAATGCAATGAAACGTCCAGAATGGAAAATTAATTTCAAGAAATCCGCAATATGTGAGGTAAATATTCAAATTTACTTGTGAAAACAGTACAAAAAGGATGAATTTTAGGCCCATTTTGATAGAGATTTTTTTAAGCTGATGGATTTCAAATTGAAAGAGTCTGCTGTGCCGTCAATTTATGAAATAGAGACGTTCAAAAAAAGAGTCCCGTCGTCATCGTATTGGGAATTACTGAATGATACGTTCGCAGAAAAAGAAAATGAGAATGAGATGATGCGGAAAGAAATTGAAAGTTTGAAATCAAAACTAGAAGATTTAGGGAAACTGCAATGTGCTATATCATCAGTCCACGGTGTTATTAATTCAGATCAAATTCAAAATGTACAGGTGAATGTAGACTGCAGGAATAAGAGGTGGGAAACACAATTAATAAAGCACTGGCTATCAAATATATTGTTGTTTTAATTTTGTCAATTTTATTTCTGATGAGTGTTATTAAATTGAGAGAATCGGAGAAAATTATATTGAAACAATTATATATCTTCTATTTTTTTATATCCCAACAGAAAACAACTATATTTTCTTGGCTATATATGTGATACCACGTAGAACATTTGAATTATCTTTCTTATATCTAGAAGTGAAGAAATATCTGATGACAAAAATTTGCAATAGCCATCTCAGGAATTGATTACCTATGAAAATTATCGATTCGAAATTTGAACACCCTGTTGTTCATTATTCGAAAATCTAATAGTTATTCTAGTTAAAATAGCCCTATTTCTACCTACGGCTATGAACGGTTTGACAAATAATTAGTTAACGATAATACCTGAAACAATTATAATAAACTCATGAATAATAAAATATCTGAAGACATTAAGTATTGAAGGACCCCGCACAAATCAAATGCAATTTTGATTTCTGTCAATTTACCTGAAATTTTGGGGGAATGTAGCAATGTGTGCTGAACAAAAGTCTCCATGGGGTCAAACGATTTCTATGAGTAGTTTTCGTGAACATTACAGGATATTCCTTTTCGTGGAAAAAAAGAACATAAAAAAACGCTCTCGTGAATCCTCTGATCCTACGTATAGAAAAAACTTGACCAAAGGATCTACAAAGGAGGTATACACGCACTTGTGAGATATCGAAATCGAATTCAGAAATTTCAGGAAGTTTGCTGATAAGTTGAGCTATATTTCATTACTATATTTAACAAACACTAACATCTATCAACTGTCATATCATTAATCATATGACCTGTTCCTAGTGCTACTTAAGGCCCACGGACGTGAACGTGACAGGTAATTTGGCCTCTTCAAAAATAAACATAATATAAATATTAATCCCAAAATTAAAAATGAATCTATGGAACAAACTAATGAAGAGAAGTATCTTGGGATTTGGTCTGATGTCAAATTAGTGGGACAAACATATAAAAGTATTGACGAAAAAAATATCTCCTATAATTGGATAGTTCTTTAATCTTATGTAGGTACTCGCATTAACTATTCAATAAAATGTTTGGGAATACTGTTGAAAAAACAATTTCAATATTAAAACTATAGCATCGTCTACCATATGATACACCACAAATCGATTATATAAAATAACAATCATTCTCATTGTTTCAACAAGAAACGATGGCATTCATGATCACCAAACTACACAACATGATTTATTTCATCTTGATGTTGCTAATTCTTCTATAAGACAAAAAATATTCACTCATGCTGCTATATTGCGGAAGTAAGCGCATTTTGGATCGTTCTATTGGTCTACAGGAATCGCCTATACATTATGTTTGGGCAAAATGGATTCGTTCGTTTCTCAGTTCCGTTCGCTGACTTAATTTACTATCTAGAATGCTAATTCCATATTAAAAAAGCTATGCCATTCACGAGATCGAACTGTAGAACATGAATCATGCGCATTCAGGACCTGTCCTATATCTTACTCACTCTTACTCATGTTTCTGAACGAACACCAAGAGACTCGATGTCATCAATAACAGTTTGGGAGTTTTTTCGTATTGAAAAAAAGCATTTTCAGACGAGCAATTTGACCAAGATTTTCGGGTTGCTTAGATATGACCTGTAGCGATCTAGATAGTAGTTAGTTGGGGTGTCTTGATTGATCTTGGTGGAGATTTTCTAAACTAAGCTTTTATTATATCAATATTCTAAATATAATACAAGAGGACATAAAAACTATTCTGAGCCTAAAATCAAATGAAATTGATTATTCAACAAGTCTCTGGCATCGTAGGGCTTGAAACAATCAACGTTGCATTTTCCCATTCTCCTGCGTTACCATCCAATGATTGTAACGGAAATCTGAGTTTTCTAATGGAGAGGGTTTTGAACGTTTGTATTTTTTTCTGGTTGCCTTCCGAAATTGGGATGGCTACTCTTGCATCCTATGTAATTGCTACACATTGTTCTCACATGCTTTGCATGTGAAATAAAATACCGTACTAACGTCTACTATGTCTTCATCGCTCGAGTGCTCATTTGTAACTTGTTTACAATAAATGAGAGAGGAGACATAATTACTACAGATATTTCAGATTGTTCATTATTGGTTTCGTCATCTTCTAAAGATTATAGAAACTGAAACCACTGAAAAAAAGTTGCTCATATGCCTGCTGTTCTTCTCAAAGAACATTTGAGGTTGTGAGATGCAGTTTCAAAACACATGCATTGACATTTTTTTAGCAACAAAAATGATCACGATAGCCGATCAATTCAACACAAAATTAGTATTCAGAATATTTCCGTAATAATTGCTTACCCAACCAAATTGAGATCAATCTGCTCATCCAACTTGAATTCATTTGGCATAAGTGGTGCCATCTATGAGAAAATTCCCGAAGATAACCAAATTACGCAGTAGAAATCTCTTAACGCAGTGTCCTCTTAGAAGGACGGTGCGCATATCTGGGTTAAAAGTATAGAACCGCCTACCATAAGAGACTAATTATTTCGTATTTTTCTACATATGTATATGCCCTGTATCCAATAGTGCATTTTAGGAAATGATTATATATAATCCCTCTGATTTTTTCTTTGCGCTCTTCAGGCAGCTTCGAGGAATCGGTCCTGAACGGTCGTCTGGAACCAGTTTCAACCGTCCACGGATTCACGGCCGAACTGGGGGCGAGTGGATCCTTCGTGCCCAAACACCTCGTCGTTCCCGTCACCGTTTTCTTCTACACTTTGGGCGACAACGACAAAGTGTCATCACCGTACCTCGTGAGTATTCGATCACCAAGAACAAAATAGTATATCATAGATGAAAACCCAAAGTCATCTCCACAACACTCATTAGAATGATCAAAGACCAATCTCAAAGGAACATGTTTCGGGCTTATATAAGCCCATCATCAGCCGATAGAAAATATTATCATAGTTCTAGAAAAATCAGTGTTGACTTAGGACATAGATGCAAGAGTTACTTAGTACTTACATGGACATGAAAAAAGTAGGCATATTAATAGTATAGTTGATAATAGTGCAAACAAGGCAAAATGCTCCATGATCTAGAAAACAATTAAGAAAAGGTGAAGAAACCTGAAAAACTTACTGTCACTGTAAAAAAATTTTTGTTATAAATGTATTTGTTGTTATGAAAGGAAAACGTCGGAAAGAAATAACCACATTAAAAGGCACAAAATCAGCTAAATTTCCATCAGAGAGCCCAAATAGGCATTTAATTTTTATAAAAAAAAATATAGCTTTACTTTTCTTTAGAAAGAACATTTTCAAAACTGAAACCATGCACAAGCAAAAGTTAACAAAGAAATCTTACTCTATAATTCAAACCTAACATAAAATCACTCAGTACATTAAACTCTAATGCCAGCCAATCACATGCAATTATTTAAGCAGAATGACCAGGTAGAAAAATATGGCAAGAGAGTGTCAAAATAAAAATTGGGAAGCTTCATTATTATAAAATAGTTTAATTTTTAGTATGTTTCATAGAAACAGAATTGTAATAGGTTAAGTAGTTTTTAAGAAATTAATTATTGAAAGTGATACTAAAATAAAAGTGATCTTAGTGAGCGAGGAATTTCAAAACGTTGTACCTAGCAACAAGAAAAAAAAAAGGAGGACAGGAAGTTTTTTGGGGCGGTGTTTTTTTTTTTATGTGGGAAGCAGGTGGAATTTCTCCACAAATGATGATAAAAAGTACAATATCACATCAAAGAAAAACTATATCAAAAGATAGACAAGTATCAAGGTATTAAGTGAGCAAAAATTAGCTTACCCAGAATCCAGAATTCCAAGAAATCGTCCAGAAACGAGAAGCTGGTAGAGGCTAGCAGGGAATTCTCCAGAATAAGGTACCGTTTTTCCTTGTAAAACAGAACTTTGGCCAATAATCTTTTGTGCCTATTCAAAAACGTAGCTCCAAAGACTATCATAACAGTTTTCGTGAAATTCCGCGTTAGAACAAAATTTTCAAAACCCCGCACAAGTGCATAAGACTATTAATAACCATACAAAAGAAAGAACGGTAAAACTGCATTTAGCATGCGATGGGTTTTTTTTCGAAAAATTTTTTTGGTACTTACGTATTTTTGTCTGAAAAACACGAATTTGATAATGAAAATGTGAACAAACCATTATTTATCAAGATATTTCACTATAAAGTTTCAAATTCCACCTTCTTTTCCGCCTGTCTTCTGGATTGAATTTTAAACAATTCACCCTTCTTTTTTCATCATTGGACAATTTATATATATCACAATGTAAGACACATTTTCTCTATTATTGAGTCAACTAGAAATATGATTTTCTTGTGATTTATCCATATTTATTGAAAAGAAGGAAGAATATCATTTGAAATAATGGCGTGTGTAATGTCATTCCAAAGCAATCTATTGACATTTGACATCTCGTATTTGGATTGCCTATGGATAAAATGGCCGTCATCTGGTATGCTTGCTCACTAAATAGGAAAAACTCACCATAAAAATCATATTTCCTGTTGAATTTTCTGTATAAAAATGTGTCATTGAAGTACATCATGAGTATATAAAGCGAATATTAAGTGTCCAATGACAAAATAAGAAGAGCAAGTACCTGAAAATGCATCCAACGCAAGGGGAAAAAGGAGTCGAAATTTCGAACTTTTTTTTGAAATATCTCGATAAATAGTGGTTTGTTCACATTTTCATCATCAAATTCGTGTTTTTCAGACAAAAATACGTAAGTACCAAAAAAAATTTTCGAAAAAAAACCCATCGCATGCTAAATGCAGTTTTACCGAAAGGACTTTTGTTTAGCATTAATTATTAGTTATAATAACAATTATTTGTTAGAAAGACTTTCGTTTTTGAAAGAGTTATTTACCTCAAAAAGCAAGGTTATGTCTACGCATGCACTTGCAGAATTCATATTTACTACTAACTTCATGTCATAGGCAGTGACTATTGATACGATGTAAAGATCACAGCTGGACTGCGTTTGTGCTGCGTTTCAGAGGAAAGGTTAGCGAATCCAAATAAAATTTAAGTTGGTTAGATTTAGATGCAGATAGGTAGTATAAGGGTAGGTTTTCTTTTGGAAGCTTTCCAATTGAAAGTGTTTTCTATTGTTGATATGAATAAAAACCCTATTTGTTTTGGAGTTCAAATATTTATTTTTCAAATGAAATTCATAATAATTTTTATTGACGAACCAGTCATATATTATGAACAATAATTGCACCCTGATTCCTGGAACTCTGCTTGAGGATATAGAGTTTGGTTTCTTCATGTCTCAAATACCGACTGTGCAAGGCAGCTAGAAAGAAAGAGTAAGTACTTAGTATAAACAGAAATAAAAAGTAAGTATCTATCTGGGCAATCTAGAAAAAAATAACAATTATATAATGTAATGTTATAGTAGAGTATAATCTCTGTATAATCTGATGTTGCTATAGTAATGAGTATTATTAGAATTAATTGTATAATAAATATTGAACATCTGTACCTTTCTATCAGAATATTTCTGATTAGTATTACAAATGGCGCAGTCGGGTGAAAATTTGAATCCTACGTTTGCTAGAGTGGATTATGATGAAATACAAGGATCCAGAGATGAGCAAAGTAAAATAGTTTTTTTTAGCTTGTTCCTGTATTCTTCGTTTATATTTCAATTGTTCTTCTGGATTTTTAATTGATTCATTCTCACTGCAATCTATTCCATATTTCTTGTCTGCATGTAAGATTATATTTTTCCCATAAAGTCTGAAATTTGGAGAGCATCCCAAATATTCGGTATGCGAATAATTGTGGTGTCGAACTGCCGCCTCAAGACACTTTTTCCATCCACCTTTGAAATCTTCGTAGCACCTCATATATGTCTTCAGATTTCGCACAGCTCTTTCAGCTAGCCCATTACCAGCAGGATGGTAGGGGGTTGTATGAATCAATTTTATTCCTTCGGTTGTAGCCCAGTCATGGAAGACACCCGATGTAAATGCTGCTCCACGATCCGTTACAATGTTTTTTATTTTATCCTTGAATGGAAATTGACTAAAGTAATTTTTCAAGGCTATTCCACTTTCCTTCATAGCCTTCGCAGAAATATGTCGAGTACATTCGTCAATAACAACTATAAATGATCTGGTAGATTTCTTCACATCTGATTTCTTGGAGAGTTCGGCAAAATCAACATGTATTGTCTCATATGGAGTCTGGGAAGTAGAAGTTAAGTGAACAAAGTCAGGTTTCGGTAAGTACTTGAACTTTACTCGTTGGCAAATGTCACATGTATGAATATAATTTTTAATGTCTTTACTCATCCCTTTCCAATGAAATCTCTTACTAATTTTATAATACGTTTTATAATAACCATCATGACCACCAGAATCACAGTCGTCATGATAGGATTCTAAAATCTCTTTTTTCAGATCATTGGTTTTGACCGAATATCGCCCATCATCCATTAACTCTAAATTTTGGATATTCAAATGACACCAGAAAAGATCATTGACATCGTCAGGAATATCAATACATAACCGAGAAATAGCATCAGCATCTTTCATTTCTTTTCCTGATTTATGATTTATTTCCATGTCAAAAGCAGTTAAGAAAATTTGCCATCTAGCTAGTCTATCTTTAAGAGTTCCTGATGTTAAAACATACTTTAAAGCTTGATGATCGGTATGCACAATGAATCGTTTTCCTTCTAAATAAGTCCGAAAGTATTTAACTGCTTTTACCACAGCCAGGCACTCTTTTTCAGTTACAGAGTAATTTTGTTCACTTTTCGAAAAAGTATATGAATAATAAGAAACTACTCTAAGCTGTCTACTTTTGATCTCCTCAGTATCTCGTTGATAAAGTACCGCACCACAACCATAGTATGAGGCATCTGTAGAGAGTTCAAACTTCAAACGTGCGTCTGGGATCCTCAGAATAGGTTTCGAGGTGATGAGATTGATCAAAGTTTTAAAAGATTTCTCACATTCATCAGTCCAAACGAATTTTTTGTTTTTCTGTTTCAGTTCATCTAAAGGCCTCACAATGTGTCCATAATTTTTTATAAAACTCCGAAAGTGGTTGGTTAGTCCAGTGAAGCATTGTATCGATTTCAAGTCCTTGGGTCTTTTCATTGATTTCACTTTTTCAACAATCTCAGATTTCAATTTTTTCGTATCACCGTCAATTTCTCTGCCAAGAAATATAACTTTGGATACACAGAATTCACATTTCTTCAGATTAATTTTCATGTTGTTGTTATCTAATCGTCTTAAAATTTCTTTAGTTAACATACTGCATTCATCATAACCCTAATAGCACACAACGTCCTAGGAACGTCCCTATTTGGTACAATTCACGTCCGAATGTCCCGAACCAAAAATAAGTGTCTTTTTGGGACGTCCCATCTCGTACATCTCATGCAATGTCCGAGCAAGGACGTCCATGGAATGTCACAGCCGGTACATCATTTCAAATGTCCTAGAAATGGCATCCCTTAGACGTCCCACGTGGTACATATTGTAGAATGTCCATGCAAGGACGTCCTTGGCATGTCCCTGATGGGATATGATTTCAAACGTTCCTTTAGGGACATCCATCGGATTTCCCGAGTAGTACAAATACTGACATGACTTCAGATCTTATATTATGTCCCTTCTAGACAACCATGAAATGACCCTGATGGTACATTCCTTCAAATATCTCTGCACAGGCGCCCTTAATATTTTCAGGATCGTATAACTATCGAAATGTCCCTCAGGGACGTCTTTCGAATGTCCGTCGAATGTCCCAATTGGTACATAAACTGTACTCTTTCAATGTCCTAGAAATAACGTCCTATGGACGTCCTAGTCGGTACTTTCAATATGTTGTCCCTGCGAGGACGTTAACTTACACCTCGCCGACGAATGATTGCTCGTAGGCTATAAGTACTCCTCGTCAATGTCCTTCACGTAAGTCCATTGGACATCCTTGGGAAAATTTTTGGGGACCTTCTACGGACCATCAACTCGAGTGGATGTCCTAATCAGTTATGCAAGATCTGGTCCTAGAGGCACCCAGACAAATCCAAATTAAAGAATAATTCGTACGTCCCTGGGACATTCCATGGACATCCAATTGATATCCCTCAGCGTTGCTGATAGGTTGTCCTATGGATGTCCTAAGGACGTCTTCTGTAGTGCTTGATGAGGAATACTGTAGGATTCAGGTATTCGATAGTTGTCCCAGGGACGTCCCTCACGGACGTCCCTAGTTGGTCCTCGAGTGGGACATTTGTGCGTCCCACAGACGTCCAATGGACGTTCACGGTACCAAATTCGAACGTCCTATGGACGTCCTGAATGTCCCGACAGAACGTCCTAAGGATATCCATGGGACATAAGAGTGTTATTAGGGAAGTGTATCCACCACACATTATATCATCTATGAAAACTATAACTTTTTCAGATAGGAGGTCTTGAAGAATTTCTTGCATAATACGTTGGAATTTTGCACTTGAATTCTTCCAACCAAATGGGAGGCGGTTGAACTCATAGTGTCCTTCTTGTATCACAAATGCTGTAAATTTTCGTGTATATTCTGAAATGCTTATGTTCCAGAAACCATCCTTTAAATCTAATTTGGTGAAATACTTGCATCCACCAAATTTTTCTATTATATCATCTGCAAGGGGAAAGGGAAATGGATCTAATTCAGTTTCATCGTTTATCTTCCTGTAGTCGATGCATAGACGAAAATTACCATCACTTTTAGTTTTTAAAACACAAGGGGATGCATAAGGTGATGTTGACTTTCTGATGATGTCCTTTTCAAGTAATTCGCTGATTTTATCAGTTATCCATAACCTTTTATTTGGTGGATATCGATACGGTTTCAATCTTATTATATGATGGGCGATATTCGGTCAAAACCAATGATCTGAAAAAAGAGATTTTAGAATCCTATCATGACGACTGTGATTCTGGTGGTCATGATGGTTATTATAAAACGTATTATAAAATTAGTAAGAGATTTCATTGGAAAGGGATGAGTAAAGACATTAAAAAACTAAAAGTTTGATGGGGTGTCAATAGAAATAATCACATGTGCGTGAAACTGAAGGTTATAAAAATTGACATGACACGTCAGAAAATTTCAAATGTCAAAAGTCAAGCAGATCATGGAACATTAAGTAACATCAGTTGAATATTATGATTTGAGCAGTGAGCACACAATACCAAAGAACAAACACATTATACCCTAGGGTGGGAAGTGAGCTATTATACAGGGTGTAATTTAATTGATGGCTCAAAATATATGAAATATATATTATGATATTTTTATGTGATTTTTAGTTCCGGAAAATGCTAGGGTTTGCACTTCAATCACCCCATCTTTAAGTTCTAAATTTAATAGATCGGTGTACAATAATTTGTAAGGAAAATTTTCAATTTATATTCCATACGAACACCACTGGTAGAAATATTGAAAAATCTCTTGCATCAAAAAATGCCTTTTGGTGCTTAGTAGACACATGTCAAAATTCATAAAAATATCTAAAACAGTATTGAAATTATGATACGAAAACGAATAATTTCAGTAAAATATCTGCACTTTATAAGAAAGCACTGAAAGTATTGTATCGCCTCTCATTTGATATCCCAACAAATGATCTGTATGCCATAACAGAAAAATTTTCATTGGATGAATTATATAAAATAGATTCTCTTAAAGTTTCATATAATATAATAAACAATAATCTGAAATCCAATTTTATTTTGATAAGAAACTCAGAAATTCATGGTCATCACACGAGACAATCAAACTTATTTCATCTTGATTCTGCTACTTCTATAATTGGCCAAAAAAAAATTACTCACGCTGCTCTAGCTGAATTTAATAAATTACCACATAATATAAAAAATTGCAGACATATTTCAAAATTTAAAATTGAATTAAAAAAACACATGATTTCATTACGAAATGGATAAAATTGATACTTTGCCATCTACTGATTAGTCCCTGTGGCTATTTTTATGACTTGATCGATTTAGCATTTTTAGATTTTTTAAATTTTTATTGTTGTTGTCACCTTATATTATTTTATTATTGTTGTTTGTAATCAACTTCCTCATACCAAAATTTTATTTCTGACTGGAAGCTAGTTTTTCAATAAACAATAAAACAATGAAATTTATTCAAAGTTGAGAGGTTTAGGGCATATGGTCATGTAAACTTTTTTTCTTGAAGAGAACTAAGGAACCGTGTATAACAAGCCCTTCTATATCCTGAGCCTCTAAGAAGTTATGGTAAGGATATTGATGCAAAAAAATCCAGCAACTGACATTTTTCCAGAGCCACATCAACTTGGGCAAGAAGGGCTACAACGTGCCCAAGTCGGGCACCGTCCAGGTCACCCTCTTCAACCCTCTTGGCACCGTCGTCAAGATGTTCGTCGTCATGTACGACCTCGACGACATGCCGGCCAATTCGCAGACGTTCCTGAGGCAGCGCACCCTGTACATGCCGACCGATTGCGCGGACCGCGACATCGAGTGGGGGCCGAAGTGGCTGCGATATCTCATACATCTGAGGTGAGGAATGACGAATTTTGTTCAGTTTATATGCTACTTTATGCACAGCACAAACAAACCCACAATCTCTCAAAATGAGACAGTGAAATAACCAAAAGCTAAGAGAAGCACTAGTTAAAAAAATTAGTGAAGATGAAATAATAACCACAAGAAGCTATAAACTGGGTAGAAGTACAACAGCTAATAAAAATAAACATATCAATGTACTCTTAGAATTAATTACCTACTTGAAATTATATACAATAACAACAATTACCAATCAACTAATTGATATAGAAGAAGCAACACTAGGAGAAATAACTAATAGAAGATACAATCGCAATTCTAAATGAATTGGAGAAAGATATTTTGAAAAAGGAAATCAGCAGTCAACCACCAAAACTGTCGGGTAATAATCATTACAAAAACTCTTCTCTTTTATCAATATCTGGGGTTGATTCGTTTAGTATTGTTGGGGAAAAATAGAAGGAGACGAATTTAACCTTAAACAGTGTCACTGGCATTGGGCAGTAACTGTACACTATTCTATAAAAGGTGCGTTCGGTTTAACAAAATCGGAGCCGAGCGAGCAGATGCAGGTTTGGTGTCACGTGATCACCTAACAGATAGAGCTATAGATATTTAACGAACGCTCAATGAGGTAGTAGATTGCGAGCGCCAGCTGTCAGAAGTAACAGAAAACAGAAACAATTCACTTAACCTTATTACTTTCAAAAACACGTCAGGGCAACAAAGATTTTGAAAATTACTAAGGAAGGAATGATTCTGTCTCATATGATCGGTCATTAACTGTGGCTCCAGGGCAGTTGTGATCGCATATATAACAGATATGCTACCTACAGCAAATTCGTCGGTCATTCTGGCGATTCTAGGCAAGGAGGATTCTACAAAATTCAGTTTCGTGTTTCGTTTCCAATTGATCGAGTCTTTAACTGTTCGACACAGAAGAGATATATAATTCCAATAACATGTTGTTGACATTGATTTGTTGACAACTGACAACCGAATAACCGATCAAATCTGAATGATCTGCTCCTCAAGGCGGAGCAAACAGATTACATCTTTCAGCTCACAGATTAGACAGAGAAAGTAGATCTGATTTATCGAATGCTTTCCGAGCTAACAGATGGAATAGAGCTAACAGATATGTTATAACCGAACGCACCTACAGAAGCGCCATTGACAGGCAGACATATTTTGGGTCAATGAACAAGAACTGTCAGATGACCGACCCTGGAGGCGAAAAATTGAAACACAACCTCACTTTTCTTATTTGTTTATAAATGATTGAAATAGTTTTTTACAATTATTTTGGCATTCGAATCGTGTTTTTCGGCTATGCCATCACATTGTGCTGTTGTACAATGCACAAAAAATGCAGCGAGAGACGAAGGAATCCGCTTGGTAGATTTTGATTTAAAAGTTAAGTACCTACTTTAGTCAGTCACATATTGTTTTCATTTTTGAAATTTAGTCATTTCTCTGTTCTCTCTAATATATTTCGCTAATAGAAATACTCGTGAAATTTCTAAAAGAATGCAAGAAAATTTGATTCATGCATTCACACGGAAGGACTGGTCTGACATGCTGACGAAATATGATCTTGTGTGTTGTAGATATTTTCAATCTACTAGCAGTATTAGCTTCTATTGCAGAAGTAGCAGAAGTTTCAATAAGGAATGACAAAATTGCTTTATGAAAACTATGTGAGTTTACCTGAAAAATCATATTCCTTCGTCTCTCGCTGCATTTTTGTGTATTGTACAATAGCACAATGAGAAGGCATACTTGAATTAATGAATAGCGCCAAAAACATGATTCGTATGCCAAAATATTGTGAAAAACTATTTCAATCCTTTGATTCCTCTGTAAACAAATAAAAAAAGTGAGGTTGTGTTTCAATATTTTGCCTCCAGGGTCGGTCATCGTGCACGCGACCTATTGAAAAGAAGAGCAGAATATTAATAACACTAAGAGAACATAATTAATAGAAGATACAATCGCGATTCTAAAGGATTCGGAGAATGATAATTCAAAAAAGGGAGTCGACACAGTCAACCACCAAACGTCAAAAGGGTCAGGTAGTTCGTTACAAATATTATTGTTTTGTCAATATCTGTGGTTGACTGGTTGAGCACTCTTCGGAAAAAAATAGAGGACAAATTCAACTTGAAACGGTGTTACTGACATTGAAGCAAATGAACAATTGACAGTAGCCTATACATAGACCGGTAGGCAAATTTCGGGTCAATGAACTAACTGACAAACTAACTTCTCCATTCGAATCGACAATAACCTAACCATCCACCTTCTCTCGCAGGTTCATCAGTTCGAAATCGGGCAAGGTGTACCTCCATTCGGACATCCGCATGATCATCTTCCGCAAAAGCGACATGGACACGGCGACTGCGCACGGCCTCGACATGAGCTACGAGCTGCGCAGCTTCACCCGCATGCCGGCCAATCCGAGGTTCTCGCCTCGGAAGTAACCGGAAGCTGCGAAGGCTGAAGCTGCGAGGGCTGCTAGAACTGGCTGGAGACCGTTGTGCCGGGTGTTGTTGGGGTGTTTTTTCTTCGGAAGTTGATGCTGCATCGACATGAGCTACGAGCTGCGCAGCTTCACGCGCATTCCGGCCAATCCGAGGTTCTTGCCCCGGAAGTAACCGGAAGCTGCGAGGGCTGCGAGAACTGGCTGGAGATAGTTGTGCCGGGTGTTGTTGGGGTGTTTTTTCTTCGGAAGTTGATGCGGCATCGATGTGAGCTACGAGCTGCGCAGGGACCGTTGTTGGGGTGTTTTTTTTTTCGGAAGTTGATTGGTGGAAGGCTGAAAGGTTTGCTTCGAGAAGATTTCATAGATTTTTCTGTACAGTTACAGATTTCAATTGTTTATTTTGTGTAATACATATTGCACTTTATGGCTGATTTAACGAGAAATTAACTTTCCTAACTCATTAGCTAAGCTTCGACGACACCGCAAAACCAAGTAAATCGTTCGATTGTATTGTTGGGACGCGTATGTACACCCTCTCAACTGGTAAATAAATTCTAAATATTCTGAAATCCATAAATACAAAACCCCTCATTCGAAATTCAAAATGAATGCATCTTTAAAAACAAGTATCTATAGCTAAAGCTCTCGGGAGTTATTCAGATTATCAATGTTCACATGGTCTCATCAAATTGTCAAAATACAAGGTACTTTTGACAGAATTATGAAGAACATAATAGTCGGCTATTTGTCATGGTCTCGGGATATTACCTACGATAATATCGGAATCAATAAATATCTGAAACTTATCGCATTTCTCAAGAAACAATCTATTGGATATAAAGCGAGAAAAATCCAAAAAATTCACCTCTGAATATACCAACAAATTTCTACAAGTAGCTCCCGATGAAGCATATCTGTTGAAAACGATGAATTATACTTTATATTTAAACTCTTTGTTGTCATCAGAAAGACAGTCTTTTTTTGTTTCCTTTGGACATATGGGATAATATGGATAAGAACTTTTTGTACTATTTCAATCGCTCATAGTTTCAGGGAAGTTATTTCCAAAAGCTGCGTTAGTAGAAAAAATCTTGTGTGTATTTCGAGCACAAAGTATTATTGCCGCTCTTCATAGATTTTTTTTTACACAAATAGCCATTTATATGTGCATTTCACGGTCGAATAAGGCAGGAATTTCAAATGCCTACTATTTATTAAGAATATAAATCAACTAGGTAGGAACAGGTTTTAATAATTTCATCAATATGAACCATCCTTTATCTTTTTGGTTTCAAAATGATATTGGCAGAGTGTTGCAATATCTCCTCAAATATACAGGGTATGAAAAATACACACACTGGCACAATTAGGGGAACGGGCAAAATTTACACTAAGTTTGACATCAATTTTCTCTCGAACCGATCACTCGATTCAAATTTGTTTTCCACAAATTGTAGCTTCATTCTTCACGAATACATCTGAGAAATAACCACCTCCAAACGATTCGTCTTTATATCATATGCAGGGGTGTAAAGAAAGTACGGATTTTTCGGTATTCTTCAAGACATCCTGTGGAGTGAACCACTGATAATTGAAACGATTTTCCAACACGAAATTGGAGCCCAATCTATTCCGAATATTTTCGTTTTTAATTCATCTTGATATCCCAATTATCCAAGAAAATATAGAGTTTCAAAGAAGAGGTGGATATTGGTATTAATTTTACCACCTCGAAACTCAAACTGGGGAGAACGTGTCGTTTTTCAACTTGTTTCTGTGAGGGTTTTTACTTCAAGATGAGAATTGTTCACAGTTTTACCTATCGGTTTACTGTTTGAAGACACATATACGAATACTCTCATGAATATGCAGGGGTGATAAAAGTTGCTCCAATGTTCTTTTGGTGAAATGCTATTTTTGTTAATTAACGTTGGCTATTTTGTTAATGTCATTAATTATTGTCAAATTCAAGCGATTCACAATTCATAAATTTGATTAATGAAAATTCAACATGAGAGATTCGACTCCTACTGATGTGGCGAGGGCTGTAACATTAATTGAAAATGACCAGTGGGCCAATGTTCTTTTAACATATGAGAGCCGCATCTGCACGAATTCAATAAATGGCAGGGAAAGACTATATCGCCGAGGTGAACAAAATGAACAATTTGATTTTACTGCTTCTGTCTCCTATGGCAGAGGTTTAGTCACGGTTAGGTTAGGTTAGTCGAGAAACGACACATTTTCAGATCCAATTTGAGTTTTGAGGTGTAAAATTGATACCAATATCCACCTTTCCTTTGAAACCCTGTATTTTCTTGAATAATTAAGATATCAAGATGAATAAAAAACGAAAATATTCGGAATAGATTGGGCTCCAATTTGGTGTTGAGAAATCGTTTCAATTATCAGTGGTTCAGTCCACAGGATGTCTAAAAAAATACCGAAAAATCCGTACTTTCTTTACACCCTTGTATATGATGGAAAGACTCATCGTTTGAAGGTAATTATTCCTCAGATGTATTCGTGAAGAATGAAGCTACATTTCGTGAAGAAAAAAATTTGAATCGAGCGATCGGTTCGAAAGAAAATTGATGTCAAACTTAGTGTAAATTTTGCCCGTTCCCCTAATTGTGCCAGTGTGTGTAGAATGCTGTATGTTTTGATATGTTTGAAATCAGGATGATTCAAAGAGTTCAATTATTTGAAAATATACCATTTGAAAATATATTTATTTCTGTATACCCTGTATATTTTAAGTGATGTGGCATCATTGTCGATATAAGTTGAACCTGAGTGATAAATTATGTAAAATCAGTGCTGAATCTGTTTTAATAAGTGGAAAACAAAAAAGATAAAAGAGTGATTCACATTAATAAAACTAGCCCAGCACATTCAAAATAAACCTAGCTAATATACAAAAAATAAAAAATACTCAAAAACCTGTCAGCATCTCTTGTCCATAAAATCATCTAGAATGAGATGGTTAATTTGAAAAAATTCGATAAAAAATGGTGGAAACAGTCTGTATCTATGAAAATCTTGCTCAAATTCATTTTCATTTGATTTCAAATCAACGTCTTCCCGAAATTATTGTCAATATTCAGAGTGATTTTCAAATATAAGTTTATACAGGATGATCAAAATCACAAAAAGCAAACCATTATTGGTATTGCTGATTAAAAATACAATAATTAAATAATTATTAAAACAAACATAGCATTCAAAATAGTGAAATGAATTCCAATTGGTCTCCAATTTTCATGTTTTTCACTGTTGTGCTGTCATGTTTGATCCAATAAAGTTTTTCTAAATAACCAATAAATGTATTGGTTTATTTTCGGTTTCCAATTGGTACCTATTGAATGTAATTAAATGACGTTTTCTCGAAACATACCTTTCTTGCACCGTTGTCTATATAGACCTTTGTTGTAAGAGTTTGTCACAAAAAAAGTTGTTCATCATCCCCACATTAGACGAAATAGCTCTTCAACTGCCATTTCAATGTATATGAATGTAAATAACATGTTGAAAGAGATGAGTGATTCGCTTTGAGAAATTTTCAAAATATTTTTGTAGTGCTGTGCCATTTTGTCATTATGAAAGCTCATACCCTATACAGAGTGTTCCAGAATACAAGTGACAAAAACCTATAGCAGATGCCTTCCATATAATTAGAAAATGAAAAATAATCTGGATTTTTATCAATAAGAGAAAAATTCTACTGCCATATGAATGAAAACTTCATAATATTTCCATAGGGGTGCACACGGGGCAAGTAGGTTTGTTTTGTGCACAAAAGAAACACCAAGAACAATTTTTCAACTTCTTTCAGTTGAAGTATTATTTGAACAGGTAACTTTTTGGTTCATCAGGTATTTTCTATCTTCAATTCAGAGAAAAATTAGTTGAGATTGAGAGAATTTTCGAAAAAACAAATTTTTTTCTCAAAGAAGGTAGGATATGAAGCATCAAAACTGGGCATTATTTGTATTGACAAATACTTTTTAGTATTCAATTACTTTTCGGTATTTAAATACCGAGTAATTAAATACCTTCTGGTTTAGGTAATTATATTTATAGTTACAAATCTCTTACAAATATTTGTTGGTATATATTTATTACTTAGTATTTGCAAATAGTTTCACGAAGTATTCGAATATATATGAATATTTAAATACTTTTGGAGTATTTGAATACCCAAAAGTATTTAAATATTTCAGAAGTATTTAAATACTCGTAAAATATTCAAATACCAAGGAGAATTTAAATACTTATGAGTATTTAAATACTCCGAGAATAATTGGATTTTCTCACAGATTCTAGAAAAACATATAAAACTGTTGAGGAAACCGTTTCCCTCAGTAGGTAGTTTCTGAGTAGAAACCCACATCCATTATTCAATATAGTGAAGTATACAGTGAGGACCAAAAGTCCGTCGCCCCCCTGTAACTTCTTTATTCTACATATTACAAAAAAATGTTAAATACATAAGTTGTAGGGTTTCATTCGATCTCTTTGATGGTTTAAGTTCCATTCATACAGAGTGTCTCTGAAAAGCACGGTGACTTAGAAGTTAATTTTTTTAAATGGGACACCCTGTATTTCATTGCATTATTACATTCTACGTTGAATTCTGAACAAGTTTGATGAATGGTTTTCTATCAAAAAAGTTGATAGTTTTGGACTTATGAACTCTTGTAAATAATTATTTCCACTACTTTTGCGCCAGTTCAATGAGAAAATCGTAACAAATGGATCACAAAAAAAGTAGTCGAAATAATTATTTACAAGTGTTCATAATCATTATTCCAAATTTTTTGGGATTTTCTCTCCACGTATATTGAAATAATATTCATATTTTTATTTTATAGAAACGAGGAGAGAAAATCCCAAAAAATTTGGAATAATGAATATACCACCTCCTCGATTAACCTACAGACAGTATTTAAGTGTTCATAAGTCCAAAACTATTAACTTTTTTGATAGAAAACCATTTATCAAACTTGTTCAGAATTCAACGTAGAATATAACAATGCAATGAAATACAGGGTGTCCCATTTAAAAAAATTAACTTCTAAGTCACCGTGCCTTTTAGAGACACTCTGTATGAATGAAACTTATTATGTATTCAACATTTTTTTGTAATATGTAGAATGAAGAAGTTACAGGGGGGGGGCGACGGACTTTTGGTCCTCACTGTATAAATACCTTGGAATTATTCAAATAATTTGGAAATATTCAAATACTTTTAGCGTATATAAATACTTTGAAAATACTCAAATACTTTCAGCTTATTTAAATACTTTGGAAATACTCAAATACTTTGTAAGTATTTAAATACTTACTGTGAACTATTCAAATACTTTTGTATCTGGAATTTAAATACTTCGCCTTTGAAAATATTTAATATTAAAATATTTTCAATACCTGAAAGTATTTAATACTAATAATAATAAGGAACCATTTCCGGACATAAGTATATTGCAATATTTTTTCTCATTTTTATGGAAGGAATCTTCCGGTGTTTGTCA